GGTTTGAATATTGCAATACTTTCCTATAACAAAATAGACCTGCAGAAAGAAATTACTAATAAAATATCTTACATATGCCATAGTTGGATGCGCTATATAGATTTTCCTTATACAAAATCACAATTTTGTAATTTATCATTGTTTGTTAAACTCTGAAAGCTGTGTGGCTTTAATATTCTGTCCTAGAATGCTAGATGTGTTAGATGTGTTCCTTTTTTTTTTTTTTTTTGAGCACCTGCCCCTTTAGTGGTCTCTGCATGGCCCTGCACAATAATGTGCACCGTGTTAGCTCAGGAAGCCGGTGAATAGTGAGTGGGGTCTGGTGTTCAGAAAGCAGGTTCTGTACCTGAACTCAGGGAAGAGAGTTTCTCTCCGTCCCATCATAATGATGAACTGGGTCCAGTTCCATCACAGGGTGGATGGTGTATTCATAAGGGAAACTACGGTTTCTTACAACCCTTTCCCACCCTGCTCCCGTATTAGTATTTTCCCATAAATATCCCCTCCTCCCCCCACAGCTCTTACATTAGTTTTACTCCCCCCTCCTTTGACAGTAGCACCGGACAGAGACATTTTCCATATTCTCAAATCCAAAATTTGACAGGTATAGGTGTATTTGAAGACATCTATGTTGGGGAAATTATATTGACAGTAAATAGATTGTTTACTGCAGTCAGTGCATTAAGTCTGCTGTTTTCAGTTATAACTCTTCAAATGGCGGCGTGATGGTCGTTGAAATACCATCTCCAAGTGGTATAATTTTGCTAGAAAAACAAATAAAAATCCAGTAACATTGCTATCCTTCAGAAATTGCTGTAAAAGTAAAAAAAAATTGTACAATTGTAAGGATCCTGAATGTAATAATGTGGGGTAGTTCTGAGTGTTTCTGGATGGCAATGTAGCACATTATTTTGTGTCTTGGTTAGTGATTCTGGCAAGCTTGATTCAGACATATTTTTATCAATACTGAGATGTGAAATTAGCTGTAGATTTTACCCCACTTGGACTGACAGATATTTATTTTACCATCACATCCAAATTCAAAACCACTGTTTTATTTGCAATGAGTCTATTGTGCGTTTGACTTTTAAAAGAACACAGTGTCTATTATTTACATTTGGCATAATTGGAACATTATTTTTTAAAAATGACTCGAAAGGACTTGAAATTCCAAGCTGACGACTTGCGACTGGACTCGACTTTTGCCTGACTTGACTTGAGACTTGACTCGGACACGAGGACAAAGATTTGAGACTTACTTGAGACTTGCAAAACATTGACTTGGTCCCACCTCTGATAATATAACTATTGAAAATATTCTCCAGTCTTATTTGCTTTTGGTCATATTAAAATCACTATAGCATTTTCTTCTAGTTTAAAGTGTAACTAAATAGGTCTGATGGAGACCATCCCTAATAAATGATTATTGATATTATGTTTAAAACCCTTTACCTCCGACGGGAGCGCAGGCGCTCCGATTTGCCCCTATTTTCAAATGCCTGTAGAATTCGAACCGCATAAGATGGAGCAATAATGCACCTACCTTTGCACCTACGGTGTTGACGTCACATCTGCATGAGCCAATGCGGCTCACTTGTTTCCGCTTTGAGTTACCATGACAACTAGAAAAGACGAAGTCGTATTTCAGACGCAAAAAGAGCAATACTATGAACATTGGTGTCTTCGCATGGAAATTAAGTTTTCATTCATTTCCAAGCAATCCTGAATTAATAACATGGTGGCTTATAAATATTCGTCGCTACCAGTTAAAGCTAACACCGCACAGCAACGTTTGCAACCTTCACTTCACTCCTGATCAGCTTCTTCAGCCTAAAACTACCGGGGGAGACGGATGGTAAATAAAGGAGCCTCCTGAGTTATTTCCATTTAATCACTTCTGTATTCGGCCTGAAAGGAGCGAGTTTATGGGAACGAGAGAGCAGACCAGAGCCAGACAGCCGAGCAACTGATCCGCCTGTACACACTGCTGTAAACACCGTCCTATTTGAGCTCTTCACAAGAAACATGCAAAGGTAATAAAACAAAATAACACGGAGACATTAAGCAACACGATCATATTTCTCTAAAAACAACAACTTTGAACCTGAACAGTCAGCTGAACCAGATTTCTGACACCAGAGCTGCGCTACTGTTAAGCTATGAGGCTTATTGTGCTTCGTCGTGCTTCGGAAGTAAAAAGCCCGAACCGTAATTTCCCCATTAGTCTCTGTCACTAACGACAACAAACACACAATATACTTAAAAATTAGGTCCGTTAGAATGTTTAGATACTTAAATAGCACATTTTTACTAGAACAATGTCCGATAATATTGCCTTCTAGCATTAGCTAAGATTAATCTTAGCCACAAAGTTTAAGAAAATTAAACTCACCTTCGTGTCAGTGAATGTATAACGAGGCGTACATCTTAAAACCGTTCTCCAGCTTGCTTGTTGG